CCACAAGCCCAGCCCTATTTTGCATTTCATTTAGAGACAGGGTCTCACTGAGTTGCTTATTGCCTCGCAGTTGCTGAATCTGGCTTTGTACTCACGATTCCCCTGTCTCAGCCTCCCAAGCCGCTGGGATTAGAGGTGTGTACCACGCACCCAGCCAAACCCTGTTTGTATTTTTATTTAGACAGAGTTCCACTGAGTTACTTAGTGCCTTGCTTTTTGCTGAGGCTGGCTTTGAACTTGTGATCCTCCTGCCTCCACCTTCCAAGTCACTCAGATTACAGGTATGTGCCACTGTGCCTGGCTCCCTTCCCTTTTCTAAAATTATTTTTTATTTTGAGACAGGGTCTTGCTAAATTGCTGAGGCTGGCCTTCAGCCTGCATTCCTCCTAGCTCATCCTTCCTGTACAGGCATGTGCCATCACACTGGCCCAGAGTACTTTTACTTCCCATCACATGGCTTCTGACTGCCTACCAGGATTTCCAGGCTGTTTCCTTTTCTAGAGGCCCTAGGCTCACCTGACCTGAGGCCCACACACATCTGGATTAGCTCCCAGACAGACACATATGCTATTTGCCTCTTTTGTCTATGTGTGTGTTTGTCCATTGCTTCTTTCACTTGTGAGGTGTGGCCTCCTGGTTTGTTTCAGCACCCATGAAGGAACTTGTAGAGGGACTCCAGGGAGCCTAGGTAGCACCATACATGCTCCCTGCAAGTTCAAAGACCACAGTGATGATCTTAGAGATTCAAGCCCTTTCCTGAAAATACCACCAGCTTTGATTTAGAAAGGTCAGGGATGGGAAACCAAAGGGTAGGGATTGGGCATTGTCACCCTCTGATCCTATCCCTCTTGTTATTCCTGGCTGAGCTTGCTCAGTCCCTTCCCTGGGTAGGCAGCTTACTGGAGCCCAGTGGCACCTAGTTCCACAGTGTCTTCTTTTTGGGTGGGTGGGATACCGGGGATTGAATTGAAGGGCACTTGCCCACTGAGCCGCATCCCCAGCCCTATTTTGTATTTTATTTAGACACAGTGTCTTACTGAGTTGCACAGAGCCTTGCTTTTGCTGAAGCTGGCTCATTGAACTTGCCATCCTCCAGCTTCAGCCACCCAGCCGCTGGGATTACAGGGTGTGGCCACTTCGCCTGGCCATGGTGTCTTATTGTATTTTCTGTTACTATAATTGAATACCATAAACAGGGTAATATATGAAGACAAATTTATTTGGCTTACAGTTGGAGGTTGGGAAGTCCAAGGGCATGGTATTATATCATGGTAGAAAAGAGACAGCATGTGGGATGCATTCACTTTTATAGTGATCCATTTTCATGATAACCAATCTATTCCCACATTAATGACCTTAATCCATTCACAAAGACTCAGTTTATCCTTTAGTCGGTTGTATAATAACAGGCTATATAAGCCTGCTATAGATAGATGTTTGTGTATTACCAAAATTCCCATGTTGAAAATCTGCTGCCCAGTGTGATGGTATTAGGAGGTGGGGCTTTATTAAGATGACTGTGCCCAGCCCTCAGGAATGGGATTAGTGTCTTAGAGATCCCAGGGACCCCACCCCTTACCCTTTCTGCCAATTGATATAGTGAAAAAGTGATGTGAGGAAATAGGCCCTCACCAGACACTGAATATGCTGATTCCTTGATTTTACACTTTCACAACTGTGAGAAATGAATTACTATTGTGTGTAAGCCACCCTGTCTAAGGTGATTTATGATAGCAAATTCCCTTTAATCTTATTTTTTTGGGGAAGGAGTCATCCTGGGGATGGAAAACCCAGGGCCTTATCAATGCTAAACAAGCACTCTACCAATGAGTGTACCCTTAGCCTTTCCCTTTAATCAAATGATTTATAATGCCATCTCATGGTTGATACTTAGGAAACACAAAAGTAAAGAAGCCTAAAATCACCCATGATACTGCCACACACAGAGGGTGAGTGTCTATTGTCCCTGCAAATGGCAAGGAGTTGTCTGCTCTCATAACCAGCTAAATTTTGTGGCATGCAACCACTGAGCCACAGACCCACCCCTTTTTGTATTTTATTTAGAGACAGGGTTTCACTGAGTTGCTTAGGGCCTCACTGAGTTCCTGAGACTGGCTTTGAACTTGTGATCCTTCTGCCTCAGCCTCCCAAGCTACTGGGATTACAGGCATGTGCCACTGCAACAGGCTCGTTTATTCTTTTTTTTTTTTTTTTTTAAAGAGAGAGTGAGAGAG